CACTTTCAGTGCAATTTTATATTTGATTGGTAAATCTGTACAACACTCGAGATTAATTTATAATACTCTAGATGTTTTGCCAGAGTAATAAGATTACCCTGAAATTAGCAGCTGTTTTATATGACGATAAATAGAGTGCAATTTGATTCGATATATGTATTTATTGAAAATATATAAATATCTACTAACACAAGAACAAAAATTTTAAATTACTCTTAAAATGTTCGATTAGTCAATAAAACTATAAAGTTCTAAAGTAAATGTGGATTGAATCCAGATTTACTAATCGATTTATTGTATCGATGAATTGAATTTATTATATTCTCATCAAAGTTAAATATCAGAATCAACATTTCAAAATTAATGAATTACTGAAGCATAAGGTTTGATCATTTTTTTTTTTTGTATTCGTTGTATTCGCTGAAATATCAGCTGATTTTTATTATTGTGAAGTGCTGCACAAAACTTAAAATAAATTTGAAATTTGGCGCATTTGAAAGACTAATAAACAGAAAAATAATAAAAGAAATAAAAAGTTAAATAACAAGTTTAACTTATATTTAAATTTTACTTTTATTGCAAAGTTGCTGCTTTTGTGTAAGACAAAACAAGAAAAACAAAATTAGCTGACTTGGTAGTTCAATTTTACAAAATTGCTGAAAAATAGAGTTATTATTTTATTACATTACGGAATAACGAGTTCACAAGCTACGTCTGAATAGCGTTTAAGTTTATATTTACAATTATCGCAGTTAATGAGCACATTTTTATATTTATTGCTGTAATTTTTACTTACAGACTTGTGAAAAAACAGCATTAAGTCTAGTTGAAACAAATTGGCATCACCATTAAAATATGTTAAATACTTTTTTTGACATATGTTTTTTGTTGTGTTGTATATTATATAAAATTTAAAAATTGTAAACACTGAAAATTAATTAGTTTAAATAAAAGAAAACAATATGAACATTAGAAGGGCAAAGATAAACATTTGTATCTTATATATTTAAATAAATTTATTTATTATGTATTTGAATTTATTAATAAAATGCTTCAATGATTTTAAGGGATGATTGGAATTTTGCAATATATTTCCAGTGAACATTCACAATAGACTAATTTTTGAATTTCGCTACACTAAAACTTAAGTCATAAACATTTTTGCAAATAAAATCCTACTCTGAAGATTTAAGAGCATTGTTGTTGCTTCGCATATTTCTTTTGTAAGTTGCGAGTTTTTGCTACTCTGCAAGAAAAAATTGTGCGAAAATATGCTCTGCCGTCTACACATTTTACGAGTTAATTACGATATTGTTAACGCACTGTTAAAACATTTTAACCTCTATAATGTATATAAAATATTTTTGCAGATAACAAACAAAATCAAAAATTCTTTTTTATTTTTATTTTGCAACTCTCGATACTCCGGTTGACTGCCACCTAGGTGTCATATTCCTTTCAGCAATTTAATATAGGCAATGCTCCTGCACTAACGAGTAATTCAACGAAAGAGGCAGCACTCGTTAATAGTTCTTCGTTGCGTCTCCATTTTGCACCGCGGCCGCATGAAAATTCTATAACTTATAGAAAATTTTGCAAACGTTTGCATTGCGAGGAAATCTAAAATAATATTGTTAATACTAGTTATTAACTCGCGGCATTCCGTAGAAAATTTTGCTATTTGGTGAAGTTCTTATAAAAATAGAATAAATAGCAAAACTTGCTGCTAGGAAGTATTGCAATTGTGGTTGCTGCGCTGCCGGGTGAATAAGGAATACAACAATTTTTTTTTTTGTAATGGAGAAAAGTGGATTTCAATAAAATAGATTTTTCAATTAATTAAACAGTTTCTTTATTCCAATCAAAATGATGTTTACAGTAAGTTTAAGATTAATTATTAAGAAAATTATATCGAAATAATTACATATGAATAATACAAAATATTTTAATTTACATAAATAATAAGTAGTCGACATATAATTCAATCATAAAATTCAAAAATCAGAAATATTTATAAAATTGAATGAAATATAAAATTTTTATCACTTAGTAGGCGTATCTTTATCTGAGAAATATTGCATTATTTGTATTTGAAGTTAGTGTGATTGTGTTAATTTTTACATATTCAGTAACCTCTTAAAAAAAATGGTGTATTATTGTTTAATAAAGGTTGTAATATTACAATTAATTAAAATAAATAATTAACTAGTTATAAATAATTGACTAGTTGCGATTTTTTGCCATAATATGTTTTTTTGCTAAATAACCAAAATATTAATTTCGATGAATTTCTTGCAGGGCACAAACCAACAACAAGATACTCGCTTCAGCGACAAGGAAAAAAAGCTTATGAAGCAAATGAAATTTGGGGATTGTCTAAATAAGCGTGTGGATATGTCGAAAGTAAAGCTGGATGTTTTGAGACCTTGGATAAGTAAAAAAATCACTGATATTCTTAACATCGAAGATGATGTTGTCGTGGAATTTGTGTATAATCAACTCGAGGAGGAGAAATTTCCTTGCCCAAAAAAGATGCAAATCAATATGACAGGTTTCCTCAATGGCAAGAATGCCCGTCAATTTATGGGAGAATTATGGTCTTTACTATTATCTGCTCAAGAAAGCGAAAGTGGTATACCAGCTGAGTTTATACAACAAAAAAAAGAAGAAATATTAAGAAGAGAAGATGAACTTAAGCATGAATCGTCTCGTCGTAATGATCACTCACGTTCACGTGATAGAGATAAAGATATTGATCGCGAAAAAAGAAGTGGTGGAAGAGAGCGTTCAGATGAAGTTATGTCACAGCGTGAACGAGAACAGCAATTACCATCCAATACATTAAGTGCTATAGAGCATGTAAGGTCGCAATTAGCTGCAAAATCAAGATCGGCTTCTACAGAACGAAATAATGTAGGTACTAATATTTCTAAAGATAAGCCAGGTGTTTTAGATAACGATGTAGCTAGTGTAGTAACTAGCAATAGAGATCGTTCGAAGTCTCCTAATTCTAGGTCTGCAGCTACAGAAACTGCTGCAACTAAAACGCGTAATCGTTCACCTCGTAAGCGAACAAGAGAGAGATCTATAGTACGGGGATCATCACGCGAAAGGTCATCCCCTAATCGCCGTCGTAATTCATCTCGAGATAGAAGAAGGTCATCTCGTTCACCTAGACGTCGTTCACCTGATCACAATAGACGTCGACGTAGCAATTCAAGAGATCGTGGTAATCGTCATCACCAATTGAATCGTAGAAAATCACGTTCAAATTCACCGGTGAAACGTCGAGATAATTCACGTAATGGAAATCAACGTTCATCAAATAGAAAATCTAGATCTAAATCTGCTGAAAAACGTAGGTATTCTCCCAAGCGTACATCTCCACGTAGAAAACGTTCAGGTTCGCGTAATTCTAATGCAGGCAAACCTATAAATGGGCATGAAGAAGTCAAAAAATCTGTTACAAAATTAGATGAAAAACCTGTGGAAAATAAAAAAGGAAAAAATAAATCGCCATCATTTAGTCGTAGTTCGAAGTCTCGTTCTTCATCGGTGGAGGTAAAGAGGAATAGAGTTTCCAAATCTAAATCGAGATCAAGGTAACAAGTAACTATACTTTATATTTTTTAAGTAGTACTAATTATTTTTTTCTAATCAGGTCAAATGGTAAAAAATCAAGAATGCCGCCGTCACGTCAACGTTCTAATAGGTCAGCTTCACGGTCCTCAGCTGGTTCAGCACCAAAAAATAAAACAAGGCGCTCGCGTTCTGCAAACACCAGCATTTCTTTGTCACCAGAACCGCGTAATGATGAATTTGAAATACGCAAAAATAAAAATAGTGTTCAAAAGAAACGGCAATATCGCAATAATCGCGATTCATCGGGAAGTTCCGTCGAGAGAGATGCTGGCAGGAGACAAAACGATGGAAGACGTAGAGATCCTCCTGGTAGGCGAATGATGTCACCCCGAGGAAAAAGTCCTCGTAATGATGGAGGAGGGCGAAATCAACGTTCGCGTTCACGACGACGATCGAAATCACGCAATAGATCTCGATCCCGTTCACCAATGCGTCGCTCACGCTCTCCAAGAAGGTAAGTGAAGATGGAAAATATTTTTTTATTTATTTGTGAAGATTTTATTGATTATTTTAATCAATTTATAATAACAAAAAAAGGAAATTTAGCTATAAATTATTTCAATACATTGGTTATATTTTTGTCTACAATATTATTCTAAGGGAATAATGAGTTGGTAAAAATTAATATAATAAAATGCATACAATAGCATTATAGTGAACATGAAAATTACTCCGCGGACTAATCCAATGTAATGCCGTAATGCTGTATAAATGTAACCATTAATTTTACATAAAGATTTACTACACTAGCGATAAGTACTTATTAGATTATGTTATTTATTCAAGTATTCTGAATACTATAGTTTTATGCCAGAAATGGTAGTGATTGGTATATTGCACTGCCCTATATATAATACATAAGCTTGATATTGTGAATTTTTTGTTCACCATTTCTATTGTTTCTCTGTTATTATACATTTTATAAATGTTAATGAAAATTTTTTTTTTTTGTTTTAATACACAGGTTTAATCGTCGCCGTTCTCCTAATCAATTTTACCGTGGACGTGGAAATAATAATCGTGGTCGCATGAATCAATGGCGTCGGAGTCCAAGTAGGAATCGTGGTGGTAATCAAGACAGGGGACGATTTGATAGACGGTATTCACCTCAACGACGATATTCAAGAGAAAGGCGCATGTCTCCAATGCAGAATCAATATAGAAAATTTTCACCTCAACGACGTTTTTCACCACAACCACAATTTAGAAATTCTCGATCTAGAGACAGACGTCCTAGTCCGCGTGATCGTCGTCCTTCATCTCCAATGCGTGCTTTGTCACGTGAACGTAATACTAATAGGTGGGATCAAAATAAAGCAGCGCAAAGGCCGCAAAAGCGTCGATCAACATCTGGAAGTTCAGATTGGGACCAAGATAATAATAGTCGCAAATCCGTTGAGCGGGAACCACCAATTAAAGCTAACGTACGTCGCGATCGCAGCTTAAGTCGATCTGTTGAACGAAAAATACCCGAACCTAGTCCTGTTGTTACAAAAAGTTTGAAAAATCGTGATGTGACTGGAGGTAATAACTGAAATAAGTTAAATTTGTTTTTAAACTATATTTATATTAATTATTTATAGATCACACATCTGTGGAATATTCGGTACCAGCAATTAAAACAATTGATTTAAGTAAAGAAGATAAAACTATTGAAGTACGCAAAACAAAACAGGAAGAAGAAAAACAAGAGATAGCACCGAAAAAACAAACAGCAACTAATGTGTTGAGGCAAAAAGATAGGTATAGTTCAAGTTTGTCTCGAACACCTTCACCATTCCTAAAGCCACATGAACGCGAACAGAATCCAAAAATGGCTACTAATACTGCTGCTGCCAATAAAAAGATTCAATCGAAAGCCAATGCGGAAGAAGAAAGTGATTCTAGCACAACCGATAGTTCTGCTGATAGCGATGAGGAAAGTGAAGAGGAAATGACACAACAAAAAATACAACCAAAGAACAGTAAATCTGATAAACGTGTTCAATCGAAAAAGGAGACTTCTTCGTCTAGTGACAGTGAGGATGAAAGTGAAGAAGAGAAACCCCGTAAAAAGGCAAACAATCAAACTGTTGCAACAAAAAGTCAATCCACACGAGGTAGTCAAAAGGATACCACAACAGAAGAAAAACAGCGTGAAATACCTGAAAAACGTAAAAATTTAGATATGGTAGAATCTACGGAATCATCGATTACTAAAAAGTTTAAAGGTTCGCATGATACTGTCTTGATTTCAAACACTTCCGCCGGCACTAAAACTGCTGTCCCTGTTACACGTTTTGAAATTAAAGACTCTAATTCAAGCGAGGAAAGTGTACAGGAACAAGAAAAGGTCCCAGCAAAATCTAAAGTGACAGCATCAGTAACGCGTAAAAGCAATGCATCAACATCAAATAGCAAAAAACAACGTCGCAATTCCTCCGATTCTGATGATGAACAAATTGCTAAGAAAAAGCGTAGGAAAGCAAAAAAATCTTCACGGAAGAGTACCGATGATGACAGTTCTTCAGATTCGGAACAAGAGCATAAAAAGAAAAAACATAAAAAACATAAGAAGCATAGCAAGAAAAATAAGAAGCATAAAAAACACAAGAAGAAGAGCAAAAAGGCTGAAAGCAGTTCTAGCAGTTCGGATGATGATGACGATGATGGAAAAGAATTTACTGACAAACCGAGTAGACTACCAACAACATTTGTAGGCGGTATAAATGACGATTTAGAAAAACAATTGCGCGAAAGAGCACTTAAATCTATGAAGAAGATTGATTGAAGATTGAAAATTGAAGACGCATTTGTTAAACATTTCTTTCTGAATTTATATCATTAAATGCATTAATCTTTTTGTTCATCTTCATAAGTTTTGTGTGACACACATCATTTTATATCCCTAAGATGTATTTTATGTGCAACAGGACAATTTTACTCTTGTCGTACTATATAGTAAACTATTTAATTTAATACTGATTTATAGAACAGAATAATTTTTAATAATTCTAATTTATTATCTCTATCGAAAGTGACGTTATTATATGAAAGCTATATAAATTTTATATGCTGGTAATAACATAAGTTAATGAATAATTTTTAACTATAAGAGCATGACGTTCGGTCGCTGTATTGTATTCCGCATAGTGAGTACAACAATATAATTTCTAATTCATATAGATAATATATATAAGGTAGAGTAACATTCATCATTACAAGTGTTTAAATAATTATAAATAAAAGTAAATAAAGACAAGTTACAATTTTATTAAATATTATACATAGAGAATGGAAATATTAATAGTTATAATTTTTCTTTATGTAGCTACCATATTGAAGTTGGAGCAGAATATGATGAGAGATATGAATTGCTTCGATATAAAAACGAAAATGTGCAAGCTTAAATGAAATGGTAAAATAATATATATTTCATTTTAAATAACAGTTATTATTTGTTTATGTCTTTTTTTAATTAAAGATTTTTCATTTATTTATTGTTTTTTTTATACCATTTTTGCACATCGAAGGTTTTATAAATTGGAATAAAACATCGGCACTGATTTTCGAAAGGCTTTATTTGCAATTTTTATACTGTGATATATGTGAAAACTAAACTATTCATCATAACATTAAGGCTACTGTTTCCGGAATAGTAATGAAGTATTTCTTTGGAAAGATACTATTGGAAATATATTCTAAGGATTTCTTAATGAATAAGGTTACATTTATAATATCTACATTCAATGTATATTAAATTAAATTAATTTAATTTCATTAATGCTATTTTAAATATTTATTATTTCCCATAAACTATAATTATACATATATATATGTGTATATATTGATTAATCAACAAAATTTATAATGTATGATATTTTTATGGTATGAGACATAGTGCAAATAATGTATTGGGTGTTACAAAGATTGCTACTATATTGCAGGGGTAAGTAAAGCTGTCTTCTTTAATCTCTAAAATAAAAATGTTAAGTTAATGAAAAAGTTCCATGTACATACAAAATGATATTAAAAATTGAATAGAGTTTAAATCTTATTCATTTTTATTATTGCAGTTAGTGCGAATTCTTATATCAAGTTAATTCGATTATCTTATTAACGATAAGACAACATATTAGAATAAAATAAAATAGAAATTTGTAAGAAGTAACTTTTTTCGAATAAGTTAACGAACTGGAGACATCGTTGATCATTTAGTTGCATTAATTCATAAAGGGTGTGAGAATCCATTAAAGTGAAAGTCGCAAATGCAGTCGAGATAGATGTTGTGAACACTCTCTCAAGCAGGAACATATGGTCAGTAAACTTGTGTTTGTTTAAGAGGGATGTATGGTCAAAACAGGTTAAGTTGTACCGAATAATGGTAAACAAATTTTTGAAAAATTATTCATCCATGAAGAGTGTCTGTTAAACAGAGGCATATTCGATAGTATAAATTAAAAAAAAAAAAGGAAAGGAAATAATTAAAAAAAAAATTAAATTAAAATTTCCACTATTTGTATAGTAATAGCAATTTGTAATTTTGCTTTCTGGAAATAAAATAGATCTGAGTTTATGTTTGCCACTACATTTAGAAGAAATATACAGCAAATATAAGACATATTTTATACCTTAATAAGTCTAAAAAAACAGAAATATAACGGTATATTTTAATATGATTTTTATCATCAAATGTATAATATATGAAATAATGAAAAATAAAAATTTATTTTATATAAACAATTCAATCAAGATATTTAGTTTAAATAGAAAAAATATTAACAGATGTTAAGAAAATATGTTTAATGGTAACATATGGAAAGGGGTTGGTACAAAACAAACATATGGAAGAGGATTGAATAAAAAACAAGAGTTTTTTTCAGTGTAATTTAATCGATACATTCAAGTTAAAAGTCAACGTTGGAGATAAAAAAATGAATAAGATATTTAATTATATTTGATACTAACATAATATTTAGTTATAATTTATTAATAAGAAATTTTTAAATCGCAAAATAACTATTAGAATGAATATTTCATTTAATATTTATTAATATTATATATTAGTAATATATGAGAAGTAACTTTTTCTCGATTTTATGCAAGTATTTCACAAATATATTAAGTTACGACACAGTTCGAAGATAAACCCTTTCGATTGCCTTAGTATTTAATTAAAAAATAAATGTTAAGCGATATATAATGTTAAGAGCAAGGTTTCTTAAATTAGTTTGGGATTAATCAAGTTTCTTAAGAGTTGACTTAACTCATATTGTAAAAGCAAACCTTGTTAATATCTGTGCCGAAGGATAAAGAACTCCTTTCAATAACTACTTTCGTTGTAGTGGATTAGAGTAAAGATAGAAAAACGTGACTCATGAACTATGTACATAAAACGACACGATACCGATTTTTAGAGTCGCGAATGGACAATGAAAGTTTGTATATTTCGATAATAAGTATGTATATGTATTGATAGAGCTAAGTTATTGCGATGTGGGACTTAAAACACATTATGAAAAACGCTACCAAATATAATATTGACATTATAGACATTACTTTTTTTTTAAACAACAGTGGTTTACTCATCAAAAATGGAGGCATGTTAATCTGAATCTGTCCTCTACACTGGCTAGAAGTTGGAAAAATTTTTGCACATCTCCTTGAGTCAATTTTTTTTAGAGTGGTAGTGGGTTGCGACTAGTGTTATCATTTTGTGTAATATATTATGAATATATGCAATTTGAATATACTTGTTCAAAGGTGCTTAAAAAAAACTACACGCTTACTCATCCACTATTTATGGTTTTCAAGAAGTTATGTAAAGGGCTTCAGTTCTTAAGTGAAATTGATTTTGCAATAATGTATATTTGCCTTTACTAACAATTTTACTTTTTAAATAATTATTTATCAGTTTACAATGTTAAAAATAATTATTTTTCACGTAATACATTGGATGATCTAAACCAGGACTGTTCAGACTAGATAAGAACGCGGGCCAATACAAATCACTGAATAGCTTGGACGGCTGCAGAAATAAATATATACCTTTATAATTTCTTTGAAGAAAAATAAAATAGGCGATAATATTAAATTTAGTTTTACTACTTATTCATTAATTTATCTTTTACAATTCTATCAGCATTATTAATTATAGTTGGATACCAGTTTTTTGAATCAGTTGTACAAGCGTAATAAATTATTTAAAACATTTTAATTAATTTATTTGGCATACCATTAAAAAAATAATATAATACTATGTTACTAAAATATAACAAAAAAAAATTTGTGGGCCGCACAAATATTGACCGTGGGCCGTGCTGTGGACAGCCTTGATCTAAAGTACGTAACGTTTCTTAAAATCATATAAAAGTTTATACTTATTAACAGTTAATATTACTTATATTCGTCGAATATACGTATTCTTTAAAGATAAGCAGAATTAAAGGAGAAAAATAACTGGCAGATATATTAATTTCTACAAAATCAATAAAAGCATCTATCGGTTTGAATAGTCGTATTAAACAAATGCTTGAAGTGTTATAACAATTCCATCTTTTATATCAACATCTTAATTACTAATTAAAAATTTTACAGCAATTTCTGGGACTGAGATATATATCCTTTTTTTTCAACTTCAGAAAAAAAAGGATTGAATAGATTTCCTTATAATATCGAAACAGTATGGCAACCATTTTTTGTGTAGTTACCATACTAGAATGTTTCCAGACAGCATTTTTCTCCAATAATTGTGTTTCGACAGAAGGTGTTTTTGGTGGCTCGCAAGTATGGCAAAAAACAGCAAGCTGCTGGCCTATACTGGCTGAAATGTACGCAGAACAATATTATTTTATCTATTTAGACCATTAGTTGTTTACTGGCCAAACGCTTCGGCTTGTAAAGAAAAAGTGTTACTAACGCAATAAAGGGAACTATTGTGAACCTTCATTGGAAACTCCAATGACTATTGTCACATATGTAAACAAAAATTCAAACAAAATTTAAAAATTTCATTAATTTGAAAATTGAGAACAAAGTAAAATTTCAGTGTTTTATTTTGAAATTTTCTACATTCTTGCCAGTCAGAATTTAATTCTAGAGTGTACTAAATCGAAGAGATTAATCAACTCTTGAAACTTTGTAGATATACGTTTATACTTTTTGGTTTCTTTAGATCGCTTACTTGACTGCGAAATTGCACAACCTTTCGTACTTTGTTTTCGGATTGTGAGTTGTGGATATTTGCATAAAACTTTAGCAACATTTTCATTTTTCGCCTTAATTTTGCTGTGAAAGGAAATTTCAAAATTTCCAGCATTCTTAATATTGCATTAAGTTCACTATTCAATTTTATATTTTATATTAATTGTTTATTTTTGTATAAACTGTATGAAACATTTGTTTTTTGTAAAAACATAACGTTTGACAGATTGTAACAGAGATGCTAGTATGTCACTTAGCGACTTTAAGCAAGCGATTTGTTGTTTTTGTCACACATTGGAGCTACCAAATACACGTAATGTTCATGTTTGTATTTACAACTTTAAACGTTAAGTACATGCTGTTTTTACAAATATTTGAAAAAATGTTTTTCATTTATATTGACCAAATAAGGTCCTATTTTTTTATTGTGCAAACATAAATTATAATAATATATTGCTATTGATATTACTTAAAAACTTTATATATTTTAATATATATAATTAGTCCAATAATTAGTACAATATATGTAGTTGATTTTATTTGTTTGTCACATATAATAAATTCAAAATTTATTGAACACTATTGTGAATGTGTACGAAAAATTCCACTGCACGATAAATACACGAACTGTCAAAACAAATGTCAAACGAGTAGACATCCGGCCATCTTCCTTTCTTTTTTTTGTATCTTACAAGATGGTAAGTGCACTAAAATTTCGTCGTTTAATTTCGCTGCCATCATTGTGTACAATAAAATAATCTATCAACAAATGTTACTGTTAATATACATAATATATGAACTGTGTTACATGAGTTATATTTTATACAGTTATGTGATATTACCGACAAAATTTGTGAAACGAAGTTTGTTGTTGATTTCGTGAAGTTGAAAAAATTGATATTGTAAACTTTAATAATTGTTGATTATAAGGCAGTTGAAATCAAAGACGATTAGTGAAAATCTATTCAAAAATGCGCTTATTAAAAGTGTATGTTATTGTTTTAGGCTCGAGGTCCAAAGAAACATTTGAAGCGTTTAGCAGCCCCAAAGGCATGGATGTTGGACAAATTGGGGGGTGTATTTGCACCTCGTCCATCAAGCGGCCCACATAAACTAAGAGAATCTTTGCCCTTGATGATTTTCTTGAGAAATCGTCTAAAGTATGCACTTAATGGCGCTGAAGTGACAAAAATTCTTATGCAGCGTCTTATCAAAGTTGACGGTAAAGTACGTACCGATCCAACTTATCCAGCCGGTTTCATGGGTAAGTTCTAATTACTAATTCTTTAATACACAACAACTAATTATAATGTGAAACTTATTTATTTAGATGTTATTACTATCGAAAAAACTGGTGAATTCTTCCGTTTGGTATATGATGTTAAAGGACGTTTTACCATTCATCGTATCTCTAACGAAGAATCAAAGGTGGGTTTATATGATATAATGTGATGTGTGTAGGGCCAAGTGCTAAAATTTTTTTATATCGAATATTTCTAGTGTTTAAATCAATTTTACTTTTGTAATTATTGAAATTCTTTGTGAGAATAAAATATAATTTTTTTTTGTGTTTTTAGTACAAATTGTGCAAAGTAAGGAAGACACAATTGGGAGCTAAAGGTGTTCCATTCGTTGTTACACACGACGGTCGTACCATCCGTTACCCCGATCCTTTGATCAAGGCCAACGATACTGTTCAAGTTGATATTGCAAGTGGCAAAATTACTGATATCATCAAGTTTGATTCCGGTAAGATTTACCAAAATAAACTAGCAATGTATTAGGATATGGAGTAGAAAAATTGTATTATGTGTTGGCTTGTCGAAGACCATTATTCATGTAGCATACAGATGGTGGTTCAAAAAAAGCCTATAGAAATTTTTTGTTACGACGGTCACTGTATGCCTTGTTTTACGGTATTTCGGTAACTTTTACGTTCAATGACATTTAAATTTAAATTGTAATTAATAATTATTGTAACTGTAATTAATTATAGTTATAATTAATAGTAATTATAGTTATTAGTTAATAGTAATTAATAATAATTATAGTTAATAACATATATAATTAATAATTATAAATAATAATGATTATAATAAATAATAATTATAATTAATTATAATTATAATTAATAATAATTATAATTAATATTAATTATAATTAATAATAATTATAATTAATAATAATTATTATTAATAATACTTAATAATTATAATTAATAATTATAATTAATAATACTTATAATAAATAATTATAATTAATAATAATTATAATTAATTCAATATGATTAATTAAATATAAATTAAATATAATTAATTAATTGTAATTAACAATTATAATTAATATTAATTAGTCTACCAATTAAATGTAAAATTGCTGAAACTTTTTTGGCTGATCGAAGACCATTAACTATGAACACTTCAGGTTGTGGTTCAAAAGCAAGCCTATAATAATGTTTTGTTACGACGGTCACTGTTTGCCTAGTATTTACGGTAATTCGGTAACTTTTACGTTCAATAACATATCAATTTTAATATATATATATAGATATTTGATTTCTCCAAACTTTTTGGCTGATCGAAGACCATTAACTATGAGCACTTCAGGTTGTGGTTCAAAAACCAAGCCTAAAATAATGTTTTGTTACGACGGTCACTGTTTGCCTAGTATTTACGGTAATTCGGTAACTTTTACGTTCAATTACATATTAAATTTAATATATTTAAATAAGAAATTTAAGTTTTCAAAGTTTTTGGCTGATTGAAGATCATTAACTATGATAAAACTAGGTAATGGTTAAAAGAGCAAGCCTAAAAAAATGTTTTGTTACGACGGTCACTGTTTACCTAGTATTTACGGTAATTCGGTAAATTTTACGTTCAATAACAGTAAATAACTGTATTATGAAAGCTATTTTTAATTAAGTGAAATTTGTGAACTTTAAGTTCATCAAGGCGAACAAACGCATAAACCACTGCTATATAAATGCCTTTTAATAATTATTGTTTTATTGTAATAAATATATTATACAATATTTAGTTGCAAACATTTCCGCAGATATGTTTATTGAAAATAAATTGAGTATTCATAAATTATATTCTTTTATCTATTTTTGTTATTAGATGTACATATTTTTTTACAATAGATAATATGTCATAAAAATTAAGTTTATATTCTATTTATATTGTATTTTATCTTAGTTTTGTTTTAAGATTTTTTAAATCTCTATATAGTTGTTTAAGTACATTTAAAATAAGGAAAAAAAAACTTATTTCTCTTTTTATATATTTCAGGTAATTTGTGCATGATTACTGGAGGTAGAAATTTAGGTCGTGTCGGTTCAGTTGTGAACCGTGAAAGACATCCAGGTTCTTTCGATATTGTACATGTTAAAGATTTGAATGGACACGTTTTTGCCACCAGATTGAGCAACGTTTTCATAATTGGCAAGGGTCACAAGCCCTACATTTCTTTGCCAAAGGGCAAGGGTGTCAAATTAAGTATTGCCGAAGAACGTGACAGGCGTTTAGCAGCAAAAACCCACTAAATGTTTTATATGAAAACAATTAAATTTTAAAGAAATAAAAATTAAAAAACTGTAATAATAATTGGATATAGAAATTATTATTTCTTGTTATAAACTGCATCTCTGAGGAAATCAATGTCTTTAGTTCGGTTTCTATGTAAACAGTGGAGCTTTGACTTAACACTAAGTAATTTTTATTGGAACAGCGACGTTTAAAAATATTTCATTTCGGTTATTGCATAGGTAACAAGACTGATACATCATTTAACAAATTCAGTATGAAGTCTTGACATGAAACTTAATTAATTCATTTTAACTTATGTTAACACGTTGAAGACCGCATTGAAAAATCTTATTTCTCACATAGGGACCGGTATTTTTTATTGTTAATTACGTATATTGATTTTATTTAAAATAAGTCGTTTTTAAATGAGGCTGTTAACCGACGACGAATGGACTACTGTACATAGATTGAATTTAAATCATGCCCACTGATGTACAAGCGGTACTCAAGTAAAACATATCGTGTGCCCACCCGTGAGCACGCGGGCCGGTAATGTTACGGATTGACCCACCGGTGGGCATGCGGTCTTTAACGTGTAAAGATGTTATTTAGGGATAAGCAAACTTAAGGAGGCGAAGCGACATTGATATATCTATAGAAAAATATAGAAAAATAATAAATATTTCCTATAAAAGAGATGACGTAGCCTAAGCTACATCTTGCCTCTTATAACGACAGGTATCTGTTCAATTGTTCCGCTTAATATACATACAGTGCTCGGGTTATGTGTGACTTCTTTACATGAAAAAGCGATATTTCTAAGTAATCGTACGAGTTCGATTTAATCTCTCTTCACACCACCCTTGAAACTCTGGAAACACGAGCTGATTCAGCAACAACTTTAGATTCGACCGTCTAAGATGGACAGGCAGCCTAGAGAGATGTATTTCTCTCTAGGGATTTAAGATTATACTAAGTATTGTTTTTATGATAAATCTAAGTATAAATAAAAAAATGTTTCATGCCATCAGTAATATGTCGGACAGATGCTGAGGTTATATAGCGATGTATATATATAAATAAGTGGTTGTGTGTATATGATTGATTCTAGTAGATGTTAAAAAATATATCAGCTTTGTTATTCAAAGAAGAAACTTGTGTGATGTAGGTTCGGATTAAATTTAGGGTAGATGATGGATTTTAACGTAAGAGATAATTAAGTAATTTAGCGACATAAATAAATTTAGTCAATGTTGGACGGGTATGGTTATAGTGCTCAATTATATCAAACAATTATCATATCTGATATGTTTTTAGGTGTTTGAAATGGTCTAAACCCAGTTCAAAGCTGATCGTATTTTTAAGAATGCTTGGATTTTATAATAAATGAATATTTTTTATAATTATTTAAGAGACACGAGAGCTTATTTATCAATGAATTGAAGGTTATTTGCAATGATATTAAGTTCAGTGTATTAAAATTTATTGAGAATTTCACTATTTGAGTAAACCATACAAATTAAGAGAAGATAAAGAACAATCTGATAACATGTACAAGTCGTATATAATATGCATACATATTATATAATATCATATATGTATGATCACAATTGTTGCCATAATGGTATGTCAGAGAATACAGAGAAAAATGTCATATATTGGAGTTTTCACTGCCCAGTGCTTGCCAAAAGGCATCTCTTCATTTCAGATTTTTCTCAAGTGTCTATCTGATATCCTCAATGTGGGCAGTGAAGACAATATCTATTAAATAAAATAGATGGTTTCTAGTCCAGAATATTATAATATAGTTCATCGCACTTCTTGGTTCCGCCTGTGAATTTACCCAAGATTTGTTATATTGCATTAGTAAACAGAAAAACCGAACATAAATTGTTTGTGAAGGCATGAATCGATTTCAAAGGTTTATGGAAATTCAAGCAACTCGGGCCAATAACGAAATTGGCAGGCTTTTCGACTCGAACACATCTGTATTTAAATTAATAATTGACTACTTATCTGGATATGTTATTAACTAACATCTTTTCAAAATGGAATGGCGCTGATACTTTCAGTGTTTTCTAATATGTAAAGCGAAACATCCGTTATCTCATTTTCATCATCCGTTCGTCTGTTCTCTAATTATTAGCAAAAATATTCAACACCTCCACTTAATTTTCATTGAATCCAATGAGGTCTAGAGTCTTAAACGAATTAATATTGTTATGCTTATCCATAACTTTATTTACTATTTAGTTAAGAAGACTTTGTTTAGGATAACTCAATATACCATATATGCATAGCTTTCCATTGTCCTTTCTAATAATAATAGTCTTCGATTTAATATATGCAAGTCATTTTATATAGTTACATGACTGCTGAAGAAATGTAGTGCGTTACAATAATTGACTACAGAATAATCACCATTTATTTAATTTCCTTGTTTTCAAACGATATATTTTATAACATCTGACACATCATATATTATTTTGATTCCTTAAATGAAGTTAAAAACTGGATTTAGGTGATATAATTTGTTCATAATTTCGGATTTGTAGTTTTATAACTAAAACAAGATATTTTTAAAAAAATGAAGTACTTTTACCAGAGTTTAAAAAAATGTGTAGAGTATATGCAATCTTGCACATAGACGTAGTCAGAAAGCAGGTAGGGGCAAGGAAAAATTATTGTAATTATAGAAAGGCAGAAATTATTTATATATTAACAAATTTAATTTTATTTAAATAAAATACTATACATCTCAATGCGAAATAGTTTTTTATTGTTGTAGACACTATTTAGACATACGTAACTCCATCTATATGAGTAACCACTTTTAAGGGTGACTCATTATCCAAAGCAATATTAAAACTTTGTATGAGAGGTTTTTATACTAGAGGGGCCAGAGTATTGACGACGTCAAAAATTTCTAGAAGCTTTATCGAATGGAATTCAATTACCTTTAGGAGTTTTATCACAAATATAAAAATATGCGCCAGAAACATAGTAATAATCAACGTTCTTAGAAAACAATATGATAAAAAGAATTATTAACCAATGTATAAACCCACATGTCAGAGGAGGCGATATTTTGCTTCAACGCGATATGAATGTACCTATACCTTTATGATCGGACAAAACTTGCAAACTATAGAAAACAATAATCCATTTAATTCCAAGTTTAATTCGCAAACATATATCTGCTTTAAATGTATTGTTACTCGTAAATGTATTAAGAATGTCGCTAGAATGGTTTGGGTGATATAATAAATATGACAAACGTATTTAAAGAAATTGATTGTGTAATAACAGAAAATGTACTTGATTGTCACTAAAATACAAGACAACACTATTTCTGAAATATGATCCAAAGTTAAAATCAACTACACGGCTATTCACAATACAATAAATACGGGAATCCAAAGAAATACGGGAAATACCAAAGAAGGGTGATGCTGTAGACTGCAACAACTACAGAGGCATAATTTTACTTCTCACATTTAAATCGATTATACTGATTATGTATATCTAATGCTAATGATTTAGAAAGCTGTCTAAGAGAAAACCAATATGGCTTTAACACAAATAGTTTTCGTAATGATCTTGTAAATACGATACAGATTATATTCTAACATTGTAATGAATTTCAATAGTCATTGTAAGTGGATCTTATTCAAAAAAGCATTCGATCGGCTTAAATCGTTCGATTCTGCCTTTTTATGAAATGCATGTAGGATTGTCAAAAATTTATATTTAGTATTTAATATGCTTGGCTAATTTTCCTTAACAGTAGTCTTTATTTTAGTCAGCGAAAATGTTAGAGCATTAGCATCGGATATCGGGTTGCACTTCTCCTTCCAATCGAATAGATGTTAGAATCTGTGCCATCATTAACATATCTTGAAAGCATTACAACAAATCAAAGCAGAGTAAAAGAATATGTTATCAGAACCAATAAAGCGAAAGGCGCTTTTATTCTCTTATTCTCTCCATATATCTACCTCGAAAGATACAGTGATCCTATATACACCACGAAGAGTCTACGAAGAGTCTAGCGACCCCAGATTCAGAAAGACAAAAGGGACTAAAAAGATGATTTAACGATATTTTGTAACAAACACTGACGTAAAATCCTGTAGCTTATAGGAGCCCGTTGCGCTGATAATAACTTGAAGAAAAACAGACTCACTATGCTCCATCTAGGAGAACATAATCGGAAACACACATACATAAATTAATCCAAAACCGCTCTTTTTATATTGATTAATTCAGTTGTATACATTTTAGACACCTTTCCATATTACCCCTTTGTCTACACACATGGTCTTGCATAAAAAAAGCTAGTTAACTTGATTTACCATATTAAAATAAGTTTTTTTTATTTTTTTTTTTAAAATTTTATTAAATAATGATATAAAATCATAATTAAAACAACAAAAATTAAAAGATTTGTTCCGTGATTTATTTCAGTTTTAACAATTTTCAGCTTAACAGTAGGTGAACGAGTTTATGTACAAGAAAAAAACTGAAAATAAAATTTAATAAATTGAAATTACTTACACTCAAAGAAAAAATATGTATTTTAAAAAATAGATATAATGACGTATGTTTTATGACACTTTTATCACATGAGTATTCACATATGTACATATAGTATGTAAGTATGTATGTAAATTGGCGAAATATTATGATGTCAAAAAGAGGAAGGATATATATGATGAGAGTGATAGGCTTTCGGATAAATAAATTTTTTTATGCATAATGTGTATGTATAAAAGATTATGTTATGTATGTATATATTTATACATATGTACAGGTATATGTATAATGAGAGTTTTTGAAGCTATTTACATAATTTATTATCTATAATATAATGGACTTTGAGTAATGCACATATATACACACTTAATGCCTTTTCCAATGATAATGCACTGGTGTTATCTCCTTTCGTGTCCTAAAATATTTTTTCACCTTGACTATAAAAATTTAAATGAAAGGAAATTTAATATTAAATCCATTAGAATTATTTACAAGTTTTATGATTTATTTGAATTGCGTTTAGCTATATTTTTTTTTGCAGCATCGCGACTGTTAATGACTTCAGCATGAAAACCCGTTTCCCAATCGGCGTAGTACTTAACAGTACGTACATTACCGTCAGGTTCAACAAGCGAATACTCGCCCTGAACCACATCTCCATCACGTACCTCTTTTTGATGCTTAATATCACCAGTGTGTATATCGTTCACATTGTATTCGAACGCATATCTCGGATGCAAATTCTGCAAAGTAAATATATAATATTTGATATAATATATGTATGTACTTGATTTTTCCCATTAACTTACGAAATATTCTAAGTGTTTATCGGACACAGACTTAATTAGTGTATGTGCAGGATTGGGTCGCTCTTGTATAAAAGAAGTATGATGTCCACCAACTGTCGTTATACCGGGCGCATACCTATAGTAATCTGCTCCGTGAGATCCTAAGCCACCAAATCCGTGTGAAAAATCATGGATTGGAGTTAATTGTCCGTAACCTGTGTGCCCTCCTTGATGTTGCACTGCTAGTGTTCCATAGTAAGAGCCATGAGACCCGCTTGAACTAAGAAGTTTGCCTGAGAATAGCCAAAATCCAGAACAGCAATTAGAGTTATATTTTCGACAAAGCCAAGTGTAATATAGCGATAACTTTTTATAAACAGTTGAACTATATACCTGATTCTAAGCCTAATTTGCCGTTGCCTTCTGATAGTAAACCACCGCTTAAAAGTGTATTAGGTTTCGACACATATTGATGAGATATTGCTCCACCAGTAGTATATTTCAAGTTTTCTATACCAGAATGAAGTGATGTGTCAATTTTCGTGATTGCCGGACCAGTTGAATATTGTGTTAATGAAGGAGCGGTATATGCCAGTTTCGCCACAGCTGGCGCAGCATATCCTATAGATACTACTGGCTTGGATACATGTTGATGTGATACTGCTCCTCCAGAAGAAATTTTACTTATTTCAGCACCAGCCGAACCATAATGGGAAACTATTGGAGTAGAATAGCTTTCAACTTTTGCAACTACAGGTGCTGTATAAGCAACTTTTTGAACTGCTGGAGCTATATATGCAGCAGATGCTAATGGTTTGGAAACATATTGGTGCGAAACAGCACCAGACGAAGAATATTTTGATAAACTTGCACCAGAATGAAGACTGGAATCTGAAATAGTAGAAATCTTAGCAATCGCAGGTCCTGATGAATAATGAGTTATCGCTGGTGCATCATAACTTTCAACCTTAGTAAGTGTTGGTGCTTCGTATATCTCCTTTGCTATTATAGGCCTTGAAATGTATTGATGAGAAGTAGCACCAGATGAAGAATATTTGGCAGAACCACCACTATAATGCGAAGTAGAATCGGATAATGTTGATATTTTTGATACTAAGGGTCCAGATGAATAGCTTTCTACCTTTGCAATTGTAGGAACAGCATATACAGCTCCCTTAGCAATAGTTGAACCGGAGTAGGTTGATGAAACTATTGGCTTTGAAACATATTGATGGGACACCGCTCCAGCTGATCCGTATTTGGTAATGCTTTCTCCAGAATGAGATGAAGAATCCGATAATGTGGAAACTTTAGATAACAATGGACCAGATGAATAGTGAGTAACTTCTGGTGCTGCATAACTTTCTACCTTTGCAATTGCAGGAGCAGCATATGCTACCTTAGCGACAGTAGGAGCTACATATGCAGCCGAAAGTACTGGCTTTGAAACGTATTGATGAGAGATGGCGCCAGATGATGAATATTTTGCATAGCTTCCTCCAGAGTGGGACGAAGAATCTGATATTGTAGAAATTTTTGAAACCAGAGGTCCAGACGAATAGCTTTCTACTTTTGCAATTGCCGGGGCAGCATATTCCAATTTAGCAACCGCTGGAGCGGCGTAGGCTGCTGAAACTACTGGTTTTGAAACATACTGGTGGGATATTGCACCTGATGAAGAATATTTCTCAACTTTAGCTATCGCAGGACCAGATGAGTAGTGAGTTATAGCAGGCGCTGCATAGCTTTCAAGTTTGGCAACGGCTGGAGCGGCATATGCCACTTTTTCTACTACTGGTAGAGAAACTAGTGGTTTCGATACATATTGGTGCGACACTGCGCCAGCTGATGAATATTTAGCTCCACTTGCACCAGAGTGTGATGAATAATCCGATAAGACAATTGCTGGAGCAGTTTGTTCTACCTTAGCAATAGCAGGAGCGAGATATGCAGCTGATACTATAGGTTTTGACACATGCTGATGTGATACTGCACCTGATGAAGAATATTTCTCAAATTTAGTAACTGCTGGAATAGACGAGTATTGTGTTACTACAGGCGCAGCATAGGTTTCAACTTTAGCAGCGACTGGAGCGGCATATGCCACTTTTTCTACTACTGGTAGAGAAACTAGTGGTTTCGATACATATTGGTGCGACACTGCGCCAGCTGATGAATATTTAGCTCCACTTGCACCAGAGTGTGATGAATAATCCGATAAGGCAATTGCTGGAGCAGTTTGTTCTACCTTAGCAATAGCAGGAGCGAGATATGCAGCTGATACTATAGGTTTTGACACATGCTGATGTGATACTGCACCTGATGAAGAATATTTCTCAAATTTAGTAACTGCTGGAATAGATGAGTATTGTGTTACTACAGGCGCAGCATAGGTTTCAACTTTAGCAGCGACTGGAGCGGCATATGCCACTTTTTCAACTACTGGCGTAGAAATTACTGGTTTTGATACATATTGATGAGAAACTGCACCAGCTGATGAATATTTGCCAACAGTTTCGATTTTAGCTAATGCAGGACCGGAAGAATATTGTTCGACAACAGGTGTCGCATAACTTTCTACTTTAGTAACTGCAGGTGCTGTGTAAGCTACTTTAGCTACTGCTGGGGTGATATAAGCCTTTGATTCGACTGGCTTTGATACATACTGATGTGAAACGGCACCAGAAGAAGAATATTTGGCACTTTCTCCATAATGTGAAGAAGACTCAGATAAAACAGAAACTTTGGGTAATAAAGGTCCTGATGCGTAGTGAGTAACCGCAGGTGCTGCATAGCTCTGCAATTTAGCAACTGCAGGAGCAACATAGGCAGTTTTTACGACAGCAGGAGCAACATAGGCAGCTTTTAATACAGCAGGAGCAACATAAGCAGATGTTACCGGTTTCGACACATGTTGATGCGAAACAGCACCACTTGACACGTATTTACTAGTGCCTATGTCGGATGAAGACGAATATTGAGTTATAGTTGGAGCAGCATAACTCTCAACCTTGGATATAATTGGTGCAGCATAAGAGACTTTTGCCACCGGTTGTACATAACTGCTTGATATTATGGGTTTTGATACATGCTGATGTGACAATGCACCATATGAACCATATTTCGACAGGCCTTCATCTAGTGAAATTTTGGAATAAGTGGGAGCATAAGAAAGTGCACCTTTTCCCGATAGATCACTTGAAGTAAAAAGTGCATGATTAGCACCTGTTGAAATAGTTGAAAGTTTTCCAACTGCAGGAACTGAATAACCTGATGAGTAGCCATCAGAATATGATGATGAATATGTTTCAATTTTGGATATTGATGGTGAGGTATGAGTATATTTTACAGCAGGTGCTTTATAAGTTTCAATTTTCGAAATAAGTGGAGCTGCTGCTGGTAAATAAGCATTTGATATTTGTGTAATTGACTTGGATATGGTTGGTACGACAACTTTGTTAAATTCAATTCCTGATGGAACAACTGCAGCATATTTTGAAGCTGGTGATTTTTCAGCATATGTTATTCCCGCTTCTCCAGCATATGTTACAGATGGTTTCAATAAATTTGTCGACTCATATGATGAACCACTGGATGAAAATTGAAGTTTACCATGCTCAGCATAAGCGTTCACTGCTGGTGATACTGAGAGTTTTACTACAGGCGGAGGATAAGCATAACCCGCAGGTCCATGTATACAGGGTGGTAAGGGTATTCCACTTGGATTAGCTAATACTGAGCCTAATATACCCAAAATTGCAATAAAAATCTGTAAAAGTTGGTGCCGTTTAGTATTCTGATAGTAGAAAGCACAAAAGTGGCAAGTAGAACATATTCAGTGTTGATAAAACTTTTGATTCGTTACTCGGTTTGTGTAATCTATATACTTTATCTAGATAATTCATGTTAAATTTGTTAATGTTGCTAAGTGTTATTAAGTGGTAACTAGAATATATTCAGTGTTGACAAAACTTTTGAATCGTTAGTTGGTTTGTGTTTATCTAGATAATTCATGTTGATTTGTTAATATTGCTATAAGAGAATTTTGGAAACCAAATTGATCAAATTATTTAAATATTAAGTTATTTTTATCTAGAGTTTCATTGTTTATGATATAATTAGTTCGAAATCATTATCAGGGAGCAACTCTCTTAAATTTTGAAATAGTTTTATAATATAGATGTGAGGTATAGATACAATATGTTCACGTAATTAACCTACTTTACATATTAAAAGGAACAATACTGGGAAGAACTTTTGGTTCAAGTATTGAAGAGGTTATTAACTACGAAGTTAAACACGTAGCCAGGTCATACCTGCACAATGCCAATAGAAACAATTCTAAAATATATCTTGAAAGTGTGTATAACTTGTTAGAAAAAATGGAGATGACTGTGGAAATGGTTAATTGGTTGGCGTAAAAATGATGTTAAAACTATAGGTGTAGGTAATTAACGCCTTCTGGTTACGGGCTTACAAAGATTTGTAATGTTCCGAATATAAATATAGCCATATAGTAGTAGCTATAATCATTATTAATTAACCATTAAGTTAAATAGAATTTTTAGTCACTTGGTCATATGTTTTGCTCTGTTTAGTCGTTTATATTGAAATCGAAGTTTCTAACAAACTATTTTTTTTCCTTTAAGTAGTCTTTGTTAGACTAATTGAATTTAAAAACGATCAGTTTCAACTCTAATGAAATAAGTAGTCGTCTTTATTCTATTATTTTTCATATTTGAATTACAGTATATTGGTTTTTTCTAATAAAGATTTTTATTTAGTATATATTTATTTTTTCTATTAGGATTAAAGTTTTTTTTGGTATTAAGCTAGTTTTTTTTAACATATAAAACATCAATTTATTGTGACAAGTTTATTTTTCTTCTACAATGCATATCTATTATTTTGAGAACAACTGTCAAATATTATACGATTTATTGTGTGGGTAATTTTTAAATAAAATTTAGTAAAATTTGCATTTTCATTTTAACTTTTTAATTTATTAGCCGCTGAGTTTGAAATGTGATCATGTTCATTGAACGCCTACTTAAGAGCTTAAGTTTTAATCACATTATGAATTCATCTCAATGGGTACGAGTTCGAGGCTCTTTTATTATTAACATTTTTCGTTGTATTTTCAAGGAAGAAATGATTACGTCAACGACCCCAGCATGATATTTAATTGATGGTATTTATTATAATAATAACTCACGCTGTTCACTTAAATGATAATAAAATTCATTTAATTGTATAGTTTATTTTATTTTATTATAAGTAGCATATAAAAAAACTAATCATGTTAAAAAAAAGTTATAGAATGATGTACTAGTGATAATAGGCTTTCAGTTTTTTAATTAGAATAAACTTTAATATGAAGATATAAGGTAGAGTACTTAATTTATTTTCTTAATAATTCTTTTGAAAAATCATTTATTATTTCAGTCATGTATTGAAAATACTCAAATAAAGGGAAATATTATATCGCTAGTTGATAAGATTATGTTTTATAAAGGATTTCAAATAAAATAAAACCTCAGTTATTTCGAAGTAGATGACTTCTTTTAATTTCCATGAGTAAGGCTTTTAAGAATCAATTGAGTACCCAAATACATTATATAACTCATAAAATTAGTGTCCAACTATCAAGAAACTATCAGTTTTAAATTATATTAGTAAAAATTTCATTATATTTCAATCATTAGTCATTGAGTTACAGCTGTTTCAGTAATACCAGTTTTTGATTAAGCACTGCTTTGCATATGTAGCAATCACTTGAAAAGTGTCTGTTGAAATCAACTATAAGACAGTGGTTTGCTGAATTTAAACGTATAGCAGTACCAATATATGGTCACACTCTGTGGCAACTTAGGAGAATATCATCAAAGAATATCACAAAAATTATTTTGAGGAAATCTAATATAGAGTTTATAGACATAAAAATAACAAAATGTAGTGATGATATACTATATGTACTATTCATTCAGAAATACTATTCAAAAAGTGTACACAAAATAACGGAAAAAACTAAATCTTAATCGCATACAACCAATTATTGACTCTATTAACTCGATTTCATCTCACCAATTTGAATTTTGTAAACATTGTATCAAAGATCGGGTGCATTGATTCGCAGCAGAAATAGCAAAATCATTTGAAGATAAAAACATATGCTCAATAGTTTCTTTCAACGTTAGGCAGGCATTCGACAAGATAGCATGAAGGACTCATCAACGAACCAATACAGTGCTCTTAAAAAGTTATACTTAACGATATTTTCACATGAAACAAAGAAATTTATACTCCAACCTGAAAGAAATAAAAGCTGGCTTCCCGCAGGGAACCCTTTTGGGTACACTTTTATACCTCCTATAGAAAAAAAGATGATAGTCAAATGTCAAATGTCAAGTGTCAAGATGACAGTTGTTTATGGTCCAACTTGCAACAGAAAAAACCACATAGCAGTGGCAGCTAAGTTAAATAAATTACGGTATATGCAGTTGAAAAATGAACAGTTGAAGAATTTTATTCAACAATAGTAAATTAAATCATGTGAACTTCACTAACTAAAAAGAAAATATCACCCAAAATTGCTATTAGGACCTTTAATTCAATACCAAATATTGCAATGAAATATCATTCCATGATGCGTCGATATTGACCAAGACCTTAACATCTCGACAGTTACTAACAAAATCGAAGGACAAGTGGAAAATTTTTCCTAGCGGTTCCAGATGCATGTAAACGAAAGGTAAGCGGGCTTGTCAATACCAAAGCTTTACTCCGACGACTGAAGCCATATCTGGTAATTATCATTTAATTTAAAGTAATGATATGTGATAGTATCAAAAGCAAACTATGCGTTAGTAAAAGGTTGCGTATGGAAAACCAGCAAAAAGTAGTATAGTCCAGCTACAAATACCACAAAATTTGGCACTTAGACGTATACTCAACATCACCTCATATATAACGAATACGGACATACATAAGGATCTGAAAATAGAAACCGTAAAGAAATATATAAAGGACAAAGCATTGAAACTATTTCAGAAGGAAACTATTTCAGATTTCCTAACATCACGGACAAGATAAAGTATTACAATGAAGACCACAGATTGACCCAGTGAACATAACTAAGATGTTCACAAAGAGAAGGGAGTAAAGATACCAACAGGCACTAACTCCAATCAACCAAACAACATCAGTAGTAAAAGGATTGCTGCGATTACAGAAACTAGAATGAAACCAACATGTTTATGACTTCGATTGCTATTTAAATCTACTTAAGCAGAACAAACAGAAATTTTTGCGTGTATATATAACAATTAAAAAATCTCTATCCATCATCAGATACCAAAATCAGAACAGCATATGCATATTCACACATTAACCGCCATATTTGAGCCGTTAAGGTTTGTGTTTTAGAAGTTGTAAAATATGATATTGATGGAATACCTTGACAAACGAAGACATATGGGAAGAAATTTTATATTGAACTAGCAAAAACGTGGCAAAAACACAAAGTGCTTTTGCACAAAGATTACGCACCATGCAACAAGTCATTCTTTATAATTTTTATATCAATAATAATTCGAATTGTTTTTCCATTCAATGAAATCATCACACTAAGCTTCCGACTACTACATACATGACACAGATTTCACTCGAACAATGAGTTCTCTTATTGTTCGTAATAAAGGACTATGGTCTAATTAAATAACTTAAACTTTGAACAATGAGTTCTCTTATTGTCCGTAATAAATGTCTATGATCTAATTAAATAACTTAAACTTTGATTGTAACTACTACCAATATTTTAAACCGCATAATTTTGTAAAATTTAAAATTTTTAAAAAACATTTTTATCTAAAATATCCTTTGGATAAATATCCTTGGATAAATACCAATATTAATCTACTTTATCCATTAATTAGAAATATATTTAGTACATTAAAATACAATTTGAGAAATAAACAGCACAAAAATATGCAATAAAAAAAAACTAAAGAATAAGTCATAATTTCTTTAAGTAATTTAGTCAGACATTGAAAGTATCCTAATTAATTAAAGATATAATTGCTCATAGTACGCCTCAGTAAAATCATTTTCAATGCTGAAATTGACTAAAAGCTTTCGAATTTAGTTCCAATACCAAAATAGAAAGAAACGAAATCAATGTCTTATATATCCTTCATAAATTTTCAATTATTTTATTTCAAAATTTTTTTATGTATTTAATTTATATAGTTATGCATTCTTTTGAGATTGTAATTAACAGAAGTGATTTTGCAATGTCTTGCCTTTAATATAAAAAAATATAAAAAATGTTAATGCAGCTTTGTTGTATCTAAATACTTTAATAAATACCAAATAAGTAAAAAGAGTGAGTTCTTTCGTGTGATTCCTAATATGGGTGTTGACGAGATTCCAGTTTGAATACTTAATGGAACGGATTTCTTCTTGACCAAATGAGCAATTGATTTTCTTGACTAAATGGCAAGTTCAAGTTTTAGTAAAAAAACTTACTTATAAGTATTTATAATGAAAATATACTAAGTATTTTATAAAGTCATGGATTTTGTTATTTTGTTTATAATTACTTTTGATTTTTGTAGTAATTAACGGATTGTTTGTTAATAAGATGAATGGATGTATTGTGTTCTAATATTATAATATTTATTCTACTTGCCAGTAAGGATAGGAATTTTATTTAATTACATTTTTAAAAATTAATTAATATTATACAAATTTATATCAATATAAAATCTAAATTAAATAATTGATTTAATAATAAATAATACTTATTAACTAAAGTGTAGTCAACTCTTAAATTAGTTAAGATTTCTAAATTTATATTTACTATCACAAATTAGTTAACTTATTTTTAATAATTTTATATATATAT